CCTTCCCATCTCCTCCCTCCTTTCAGTCTCAGGAAGCATCATCCCTTCCTCTGTTCCAGCTTTGCCATCCCCTTTTTTCCTTTCCCCATCCCAGCTTTCCCCAGCCGTCCCTGCCCATCTGCACACAGCCGATGCTGCTACTCCTCTCCCAGCCCCAGTCTCAACCCTTCGCCCAGCACTGAGCTCCAAATTCCTAACCTTTGAACTGGAGCCTTCTCCTGCCCTGCACTACTGCAGTGCTGAGGAGGAGAAAATTTTATATCCAGATGGGAGCATTTTCTTCCCCAAGTCCAGGTGTGTTATCAACCTTTGGGGAGCCCAAAAGCAGCACAGCCCCTCCTGGCAGCCATGCGAAGGTGAGCACCCAGCCTGACGCCTGTATCTCAATAATAAATTACACGTTTGCAACCATTTTTTTTTTTTTTTACAAAATTCCGTGTATTTTCACGCGAAACACTGCAAGTGTAAGCCAGAATTTTTGCCGCAGCCCAGTTCTGCAAGACAAGCTACCACGAGCCTGTGTATGTGATTTTGGTGAGCCACAATTTAAAAACCCATGCCAACAGGTTCCAGCGGGAGAAAGGCAACACTCTCAAGGTAGGTAACAGCAGGGGAAGCTCGAAGCACTCGCCACCTGCGTGCAGCCGGAGCATTGTCACCATCTGCCCCAGCTGCGGGAGGGGAGCGCCGGAGCAGCCCTGCCCGCGCAGCTGGGCTTCAGCACGGCCTGGGGGGATGCTCCAGCCCGGTCCCAAAGGGTCCCAGCAGCTTCCCCGCTTTTATCAGCCCCTGTCGCTCCAACAGCTCCCGGTACCGGGGTTTTTCGGGGGACTGTGGCTCCAGCAAAGCTCCCGTGCTCAGGGAAGCATTATCTGACATCCTCTCCTCATCTGACATCCCCTCGCTCCGGGGGCTACACGTCCCTCCCCCAGCTCTTCAGCGCAATCCCCACCGTTTTCCACCATCATTTAAGTTTCTGAAGTAATTTCTTTGCTTTTTTTTCTTTTTTTTTTTTAAAGCAAACCATCTACCATATGTTCTCCCCTGAAAGGGGTAATTGTTAACAGATCATTAAAACACCGTGGCGAGTGCTCTGAGATTCCTTCCCTCAGTCTTACGCATTATCCCGTCTCTGTCACCCTTTCAATGCGGCTTTGAGGGCTCTGCTTTTCTAACTTCCTTCTCGGGGGGGAAAAAAAAAGAAGAGAGAAAGAGCCACTAAAATGACCCTCTTCACAGCTCTCCTCCTTGCTTTTCAATGTCTTTTGCGACACCCAGCAATAATTGGGGTGGGGGGCTGGCGTGCCGCTGCTGCCGTCACCAGGCTGGGGGTGGCAGGGCCACATCCTGCCCCGTTCAGGGGGTGTCACGGTCACGATGGCAGGATGAGGAGTGACAAGGGTGCTGCAGGCACCCTGTGGGTGCTGACAGCCCCTCCTTCCGCTGCTGGGAAACGGGATGCTGTTTGAGGGGTTTGGATGTTTCACCTCCCTTTCCTGGAGAATTAACACTGTTTTAGGAAACACCAAGGGATGGGAAGCTGGGACCATCAGGGGATGGACCACTTGTACCTGAGCCTGGTCTCAGCTCAGTGGAGCACAGACACAGCACAGGAACCTTCCCAGTCCCAGAGGGAAGAGGTGGTGAGGCAGCTGTCCCAGTCAGCAAAACCTGGTTATATTTGAGAAAAACACAGCAGCTTCAAAGCCCTGCACCAAATTTCTCTGAGCACCAATATTCCACAGCAGCTCAGCAGCTTTGCCAGTGCCTGTATGGAGCTGCAAGGACCTCAGGGGGCTCCTTCTTCACCTGACACCCCATTTTCCCTGGTTCTTGCCCTTCAGCCAGCAGGTTTTCTCCATCACCCCCTAAACCTCTTAGGGTGTTATGGTTATTTTCACCCAGGAAAGTGTAGCCTCAAGCTGGAGGAAGTGGTGCTACTCCTGCTTTGCTCCAGCCCAGATCCCACTGCAGAGGCCCTGAGCATCCTGGGAACACTGGCAAAGCAACCCTCAGCTGGTGCCAGGAGCTCCTTTTTCTTCCCCAGGCAAAACCTCCCATCCCAGAACCTGTGCTGCCGACCCACAGGGAATCTCCAAGCAAGGCTGAGCACCCAGTTCAGCACCCAGTGCCCACAAGTGTGAGGCTGTTCTGTCCTGGTGTGCACATCTCAAGCAGCTCCTCTCCCTCTCCCTCTCCCTCTCCCCCTCAGCTTTTAGCCCTTCATCAGGAACACAATATTCCACAGAAAGGAAGTGCCTCTTTCAGAGGAGAGTGCTGGAAACAGACAGGGCTCCCATTTTCCTGAGGGATTTCACAGCTGCCTTTGCAGAGTGCTCCTGCAGGGCAAAATCAGAGCTGCAGAGACAGACATTGGGCCAGGAGCTGAATCCAAAGGCAAACAGGAGATGGAGCTGTGTCAGTTTTAGGCAGCTGGTGGGACTGAATGTCGTTTTGACAAGAGAAACAGCAGCGTTGCTCTCCCACTGCAGGTGAAGATGCCGCACTCTCCGCTCCCCCAAAAGGCACAGACATTAAATGAGGATGCAAAACCAAAGCAATTTCACCTCGAGGTCCAGCTGATCTCCCTGGCCCAGCACAGCCCACAGCACCCCAGCAAAAGGCAGCACCTGCCCTCTGCAGTCGAACACCCACCACATTATTTCTTAGGAAAAAGCAGTTCCTGAACCCACACAAGAACCTTTGAATAATCAGCTGGTGCAGCAAAGTCGTGGATGCTGGGAGGTCCTAGTGAAAAAAAGACCTTTAGGAACACAAATGTACAAAACAACTTTTAGCTACATCGGTTTTAGATTTTAAACACTTAGATTTTAGATTTTTCCCCATCAAGGGAATTTAGCTCATCCCACCTCCAAGGAGTGTTTTCCAGGAGAAGCTGTGATCAGCAGCTGTATCCCGAGTGTCCCTCTATGCCTCGTGAACAGATGATAATCACGGCAGAGGTTTGGGGCTGTTGAGGGGTTTCCTTGGAAGCTCTACCTGCACAAAGGAGCTTCTTGAGGCAGAGCAGGGAAAGCGCCGCTGGAGAAACCCCGATGCCGTATGGATGCGCTGAGCAGAGATTGAATTCCCGGCAAGCAGAGATTTAATCAGCAGTATGGCATATCCGCACCACCAGAGGGAGATCTGCTCGGCATTTCTCCTCTGGATCCGTGCTAATTAACGATTTTGATCAAGTATCAGCAGCGGCATATACTGTGCATGATGCTCAGCCAGGCACTCAGCTCGCCAGGGTGCATCACCCCAGTGCTCTGCCAAGTCTTTGCCTCTGTGGGCTCCAATTACTTGAAATAAAGAGGGAAATCTCCTTTTCTAGCTGAATGGTGATGGAAAGCAGTAGCACACGAAGGATGAACCGCTGGCAGCTCACAGTTGTCACAGCACTTTAAAATTACATCCACAGTTCTGGGAGTTTGCAGAGTTGCCTCAGTCCTTTAAACAGCAGCCAAGGAGCATTTTCTTAAATCAGGTTAAGGATGCATATGTGAGGAGCAGCCCAGGGGTGGCTGTTCCTGACAGAAGCACAGGGATCGAATTAGAGCAGCATTCTTCACCCATTTGAGGTCAATTTTCTCGTCAGCTCTCTGGAGAAGGCAGCTGAGCAGAGAAATGCTGCATCCCTCTCCTCCAGCCACCTCCCAACAGGCATCACCCCTCCCTCCAGACACAGTGGGCCTGTGAAGCCAAGAGTTCATTTCCTCAGATCTGAGGGAAGGGCCTATCGTTTTTGAATCAATGGTTTATTAAACAAAATCACACAGGGTTTACTTTGTGGTTGTCAGGTTGACACCACTCCCACCCAAACACTGGGAAGGACAGTGAGCACTAGGGATGGCTGAAAATTCAGTACAACCCACAAATTTTCTTGCCAAAGGAGAATTGCTCTTGGCTATCTCCCAAATATTCTCCCCATTTCATTTAATCTACCTAAACTTTAACCACTCTTCTGTCTTCTCCTGCTTTCCTCAATATCTCGTATTTCAAACCACCGCAACATTTACAAGGCACTATCAGTAAGAAAAAAAAAATACTGTCATCAAAGGAGAATTACCTTTATTATTCTCACCTTTCCAGCCCACTCTCCATCACAAACCAACTTCAGCTTCCATCTTCCCATCCTTCCCCAGCAGCCAGCTCCATCTTCCTAAGCTGCCCCTCCTTTTCCCCTTCCTCTCTTTGCACACAAATCCACCCCTGAAACACACCTCGCTTCTGAACTTACCAGAATGCATTATTCAAGGCAGAGACCAGGAAAGTTTGGGTGATGAGGATAAAGTGCAATTCAATAGGTAGTAGCCAATGTGCAGGGCCTAACGCTAGAGTGTGCTGTGCAGGAAATAACCTCGCACTGTCCTCTCTGCACTGGGATCTCTCTCCCTTAGAACAATCAGGAGCCCCAAAGAACTGGGTGAGTCCTTTTTGGCTCCTGGAAATGCATGAAGCTTCCTCAGAAATTCTTGGTGAAGGCAAAAAGTTAAGCAGCAAACTCTGAATTTTGAACAAAATATAAAAAAAATGCCAGACATGAAAATTAAAAAAAAAAACCCCAACAACAACCACAAAAAAAAAAGCAGCAAGGAGAGAGTAATATCAGATATTGCTCTGTTTTTCTTATTGGAGTGTTAAGAAAAGCAGAGATTTAGATTCAGGATAAAAACCTGCTTTATTCTCATCCTGACTTTGGTTTAATTTTAATATTATGATATTAAAGGTTTTGCATTTTGCCTGCAGGCCTGGCTGAGGCTGGAGAGACCGCAGAAAAACGCTCAGGAAAAAAAAAAAAAAAAAAAAAAAAAAAAAAAAAAAACAAAAAAAAAACAAAACCAGAGCACTTGGTGAACTAAGAGAAGCAAGGGAGGCACAGATGTTCAGTGACTCTCCAAAAATCCCAGGCAGGCAGCACCCAAGTCAGAATCACAGCTCCAGCTACTCTACCTTTTGAGGGACATGAGAAAATAAAAAACATTTTAAACAAAATCTATGTGCTTTCCTTTTTTAAGAAAAACAACTTTTATTTTGACAAATTATTTTAGAAACATCTTGACATACAGAACTCAAAAAAAATAGAAAGTCATCAATCATCTAGTTAATTTATTAGAGGGGAAAAATACAGTACATCCAAGACTCAAACATCCTGTAAGTTTATACAAAAGCCAGACTGTAATAAATTGCCTTAAAAAATATATCAAGCATTACCTGACTGATTTGACATTGGCATTTGCCCCATGATTAAAAGGCACAGAAGACTGAGCAATGAAAGCGATCATCATCACATCCATTATTGTCAGTAGATTCATCATGATTAGCATAAAAACCCATTATTAAACATGTTTAATATTCACCATTTGGATCACTAAGAAATCTCTCTTGGAAGGAGTAAGAAAATAAAGTTGGGAAAGGACAAACACTTAAATACAACATCCCAAGATGCAAAGACACTTGCTAGAAATCGACGTTCAGATCTTCCCATCTTCAGATCAGAGCAGTTTTTTTTTTGGCTGTTCTCACTCTGCAATCACTCAAAAGGAGATTTAATGATCCACAGACCCCACAGCGGCAGCACCGCAACCCCGCCGGCAGCGCGGGGCCTCTCCGGTGTGTCCTGGGGCACACCCAGCCCCGGCTGCTGGCCGGCTTGCCACCCCCACAGTCTGGAGCAGCCAGCACCAACTGAAACTGCTGGCTTTGCCTGGCTTCAGCTGCGTTTCAGGTTCCCCAGCTCACCCCGGGTAGCACATGCAGCAGCCGGCTCCGGTGAACTCGGGGGCAGATCTGTGGCGCGTGTCTTCGAAGAGGCTCTCGCTCAGCTTGTGCTCCGTGATGATGTCCTCCACCCGGGTGATGTACAGCAGGGACAGCAGCACACCCAGGAACTGCAGAGGGGAGGGACAGCCCCAGTCAGATAGCACAGACAGCTCATCTGGAGCGTTAGAAAGCCTCCGTGGACACAGCCAGGGGAGGACTCAAAAAAAACCCCAAGCAAAAAGCAAATTACCCCACCAAATTCTACAACATGCCACGGTAATGCTATTAAGTGACCACAATGACACCTCAGCTTCTCAGTTACTTTAAATTCAAAAAGAAAATTATGATTACAATCAAATGAGATTTCACATCCCATTACCTGGGGCAGCAATATGCCCAGCAGCACGCCAGCCATGATGCTGTAGTTGTCCAAAAACCAGATGAGCACTGCATTCGTGCACCCTCGGACGTAGATGACATGCTGGACGCTCAAGCGCTGCAAAACACCAGAGTTAGAGTTCAACAGGAGGTTCCACTGCTGTGTGAGACACGTGGCAACTCAAAAGTTCAGGGAAATTGAAATTTTCAAGGTGTATTTGGTTTGCCTTCCCGCCTCTTTAAACCCATTGAGTTTAACAAAGACCTCATGACTAACTCTTCCACCTGTTGTTAAGCTGTTTCACATCAGAACAAATGATTCTAATTTTTAAAAGTTATTCTACACCTGAATAAGTTATTTCATTGTCTTAAAGCTGGTTTTGCAGCTATTTTTCTACAAGAAATGCACCAAAGTCTCATTTAAGACCACTTGGAAAGCAAAGAATTCTCTCTTTAGCTTTCATCTCTGCCTCCAAGCTGAAAATACAGCAGTGGAAAAATATAAATCGTGGACCAAGTGCTTTGCAAAAGACCCTAAAAAGGGCAGGAACAAGAGGATTTGGGATTCAGTCCTGCAAGCTGTGCTGCTCTGTGACCCCAGCCCATAATGTGGAAAGCACTTGAGGCTGCAGAGGGTCTTAAGCAGATGAATGGGGTAAAGTTGAGCGTAGGCTGAAGTGCTCCCATGTCACAACCCGGCTGGAGCGTTCAGGTGATTAAGCCATAAATCAATGAATCTAAATGAAGACAAGTTGTGTGTAAAGATAACCAGTAATCCCAAAAACCAACAACCGAGGTGGGCATTGTGCTCCAAGTGCCTCAAATGAGCTGGGGAGAGGGGCTTTGTCAGACCAGCCCCCGCCCTGCCCTGCCCCAGCGATCCACAGGCAGGAGAGGAGAACTCGGGGCAGATCCAATTACCGATTTCCTCCTTAATCACTCCGAAATTGCTGCCTTGAGCTGGCAGTCTCTGCTCTGGAGTCTATTCCCAAAAGGCAAAGCTGGAGGAGGAAGCCCCATCCCGCTCCTGAAGGGAGGAGAAGGCAGCCAGAACAACCAGGGAAGCCCCACTCCTCTTCCAGGAATAACTATCGTAGGCTTAAAAATAAAACACCCAGACACAAAATACTTAGGAACAGCTGAGTTTTCATTGACATTATCAATGCCAATTTTGCTCAGTGACAAACTTTGGCTTTTAAGTACTAAAAGCTTTCCCCAACTCAGTCACTGCTTAAAAGTATGAAAGCAGCTTTTTGTGCATTAATTGTGACATTAGCTCAAGGAAGTTGTCAGCAAACAAGGAATCATGGAAAATACAAAGAAGGGAAGATACAAAAATCAAACAAGATTAGTTTTTTCTAATATGTGGAAATTATTCCAGGGGAAAAAAAACCAACCCACTTTAACTGCTGATTTAACTGCATGGCAGATTAAAGCACACAGAAGACACTTTTATAACAGACCCAAAAAAATAGAGAGAAGCAGCACCCCCTGCCAGGACAGGGTGGGCACTGGCTGTGTTACCTCTTGGTCGATGGTTTTGTATCCACACATGGTGTTGATAATGTCTGTCTGAAAAGAAAAACAGCAAACATGAACTGCAGCAGCAGAAAATTAAAATCACAAATGCATTATTTTCACCCAGCTGGTATAAACGCAATGACAGGGTTATTTCCCAGCCCAACACCAGTTCCTTCCATCAGCCCCAGTGCCAGGTTTAGTTAGAACTCTACATGATTTTAGAGAAATGAGGATTGTCACATGTCACAACACTAGACATGTGAACCATTTCCATTCACCAAAACCAGTGTGGCACCAGCAACCACAGCGAGCTATGGCAGAGCTGTGTGACACAGCTGTCCCCACAGGATGAACAGCTGGGTTTCATTTTAAAGCCTTAATAACTTAACACATCTTATTAAAAAAAGAAAACAACAAAACAAAAACAGGGGTTAACACAGCCTTCGTGCCAACAGGTGTCAAATTCAAGCTCAGAAATACCTTCAACTTCAAATAACTTTCAATACTGTGCACGCTTTTACCAAGACTAAATCTATTACACTATAATTTTATGTACCATTATACGTGGGAATATAAAACACATCTATTTAAAAGAGCCTGAGTGCTTGCATTCCCCACAGATTACTGATGCATTTTCTGTAGCCACGTAATATTTTCCAAGGTTCCAAGGTTCTACCTAGCCTGGCCTGAAAATACCATCCTCCACTTACAAACCATCCAAGGCAAAGCCCACCAGCAAAGGAAGCAGCGAACAAAGCCAAAGATATGGAGGGAAATGAGAATATGGAAATGAGGAAAATAAGGCAGAATGAACCCTGCATTGTTGATATACATTCTTATAATCCTAGAATAGTTTAGGTTGGAAGGGACTTTGAAGACCATTTAAGGTCTAAGTTTTGAAGCCTCACAAAAGGCTGGGCTCTCATCTTGAATGCACAACTGACTGACAAAAATGGTTCAGACTGAGAAAAAGCTCAGACTGTTCCTCAGGGCTGCTGGGAAACGGTGGGGTACCCATCTGCCAACACAAGTAATAAATACAACTGGAAGTCAACATCAGTATCAGGCATCAGCATGTTGTGTTGGCTGTGAGTGATTTCAGGTTCCCTAAACTGCTGGAGCCTGACTAACTGACATGTGGTCACCCCCAAAATCTGTGACCACAAGGAATGCAGTCCCACCATTTAATTTTAAACGTGGAATTTGCTAACAGGACATCATGGCACAAGTAAATGCACGCAGAGGAGATAAATGTACTGGAAAAGGAGGATTATAGCCATTGGGGACTGATTTTTATCTGCTACACTAGAGTAAGTCTTTAATAAATAATTTGACTTACACATAGTTCCTTTAGAACTGGCTCGTATCAGCTTTTACAGAGGATCAGAATCCAGCCCCCAACATCAGCCCGAGCTTTCCTGACTACGAAGCCCGTGGGTAATCACAAACCGTATCTGCAGCTCTCCAGGACAGAAGCCAGCCTGTATTTGGAAGCCTTTGTCAAACACACAAGATGGATGCACCTTCAGGTTGTTTTTTGGCCGAGGCAGCTGTGCACACACAGCCCCGGAGCCGGAGCTCCCGTGCGGCGCCACCCGGACTCCACTGAACCCGGCAATGGCATCTCCCTTGGCACAGCCATGAGCCCTCACGTGCTGCAGCCTCTGCGTGAACCACACTTCAATCTGGGCTGCTCCCTGCCTTTCAATTCACTTCCCTGAGCTTAATCTACATGCAACCTAATCCAGCCMATCCCCATCCCCATCCTCCCTGTTTTTCTTGGAGAAGTTTTCTTTTAGTGCTTTCCCTTTCCTGAAGGTAAAATCCTGAGTTGTTCTGCTCCCGCAGCTGCAGATCAGCAGGTGCTGCTTTCACATACACATTCTTCCTCTCAAACACCCAAGACTCAGAGCACAACTGTTTGGATTCTGAGAATAAAACAAACCCCACCACAAGTTTAAACAGACCCTTTCTCACGCACCAGAAATGTGCAGGCACATGCAATAAACACCTTCCAGCGACACACACATTTCTCAGCAACACCTAGCAGGATTACTGACACAACCCTTGCGTTTATTTTCCCTTTTTCTAATTAAACAGCCATGCTCAAGGCAGATGTTGAAAGGGAAGCCCAAACCAGGATGCCCATCATGAGCTCTACTCTCAAACGCACCCAATTTCTCTGCCTCGTGCTCAGACTAAAGGCCAAAACCCAAGAAGGCAGGGACTGCCTGTGCTGGAAAAGTTGAGGAATAGTTCTTTATCAAATTAAGCATTACATGCATCCCTCAGACAAAGAGCAGCGAATTACAAAATTTAATTAAAACACGTTTACATGAAGATCAATGCCTGCTCCTAGTGCTGTCAGCACCAGTTAACACCAGCTCATCACAGACTGAGAAACTGGTCCCAACTCCAATCCTTCCAGGATTTTAGAGGCAGGCAGTTTTCAAGGATGGGTTAGGGCAGAGCAGCAGCTCCAGCCCAGACCTGTGCCCACAAGCATGCCCTGACCCTAAGGTTAGCTGCCCACATTTTTGGATTATTCTGGAGATGATGAGGTCGTTCTGTTTGGTTTTTAACTCCCACATCAGCTGGAGCACATCACTCTGACCCATGGAAGTAGCAATCAGTTCCCAGGCTTCCTGGCAAAGCTGGAGCAGCAAACTCCGAGGAAAACACCAGCAAATCTGAATTTTAAGCAGCTCTGGCTGAGGTGAGCCATGAGATTAGAGGAGCTCCCAATATCCCTTCCAGGGCTGGGAAGGGGGTCAGTAAAACAGACCACAGCCAACACATCTAATCCATTATTTTCTCATTTTCAAGCTGTCAAGACCCGCAGATCCCTTAGGAGAGGAAAGGACCCATTTCCCTTTGCTTCTGACCCCAGACTTCCCAAAGTCAGGTACCTTTTCAAGCCAACAGCAGCGATGCAGAGATGCCAGGATTTACCTTGTTCCTGATGCAGCAAGTGTAGGGCACCCCACAGGCCAGAGGTCCTGGAGCTCCACAGTCGTGGTACACATTTTGGGACCAATCCCTATAATCCTCCCCACCACAGCACTTAAACTGCAGGAAAAAAAAAACCAAAAGAAACGAAATTCAATGATCTTAAAGGTCTTCTCCAACCTAAATGGTTTTAGGGTTCCAAAAGGAAAAGGGAAAAAAAAATCTATCTTAACTTTTTGAATAAGTAGAAAACAAAGTAAGAATAAAAGAATTTTAAAAGCCCTAAGGTAAAAAAAAAAATTATGTCATTTTATCAGCAAGGCATGTATGAATACATATGATAAACACAATTTAAAAGAATTAAAGATATAGGTAATGTCCCTCTGTCACTCACTGAACTTTAACTCAGGGTGCCAGAGCAAAGCACTCAGTGCCAAGCTCCACCTCCCATCTTTTCTGAGTTGAAAAATGATCTTTCCAGGTCTGGACAGCATTAAGCAACACTTTCACATTGACTCTATCTCAACCTGTAATCGACCTCTGCAGTTGTTGTAGTGATAACAAATATATTTCCAACTGGGTCTAAAAGACAAAAGCGTTGCTGTAAGCATAAATTAATCTCACCAAAACATTGTGGGAGTGATTTAGAAGAACTAAAATCTGGCAAACAAATGCTGTAAGTTTACACTGACTTCATGTAAATATTCACTTTATAATGTCAACGAAGGGAAAAGGAGGAGTTCATTCAGTCACTAAAATGTATATTCACTGTACATACCCATAAATTTGGGCAGTGCATGGAAACTTTAAAGCATTATGAAGTCTAATGACAAAATTTCCTCAGGATGGCTTGCTTTTGACAGACTTTCCATGCTAACTCTGTTTTTCATAGCAGGCTGCCATCTCCATAATGATGTCCTAGAATATATGTAACACTTCTAAAGTCAATTTTTTTAAAAATAACCATTGCTTGGCACAGTCATGGACATCAGATGGGCCCTGACATCACATTTCTGAACACTTTTTGCTTCTTCTACAGCCTCTGAACTGCATGGCAGAACTCTTCAATAACCCAATAAACATTTCAACACATCAGCCTTGTTAAAAAAAAAAAAAAAAAAGGCTGTGAGTCAATGCCACGAGCCATTAAGTAATGCTCAGCTGGGCTCACCATAATTTCTTAATTTTAATTACACGTGGATACACTTGCTTGGGCATTCCCTTGGATTAACCACCTTGTTAAAGTTGCAACCACACAACAACGGCCCAGGTTGTGACAGCACAAATGCCACCTCCCCTCTCTTCATCTGACGCCTCCTGTTAACAAAATGCTTCTCCACCTCTTGGACCAGCCAGCTGAAATGCTGTGGGTGGAATTCAGGCTGAATCTGTCTGAATCCAGCTGTGGATTCTCTAAACCTCTGTGTTTGTAGGGTCTGACTTCAAGCATCTCAACTGCACCTGCAAAGGCAAAAGCTGCATTTTGGCCCTTGCTTTTTGCAGTGGTCTAAGATGGTTTTAAAGGCCACCTGGAATGCTGGATGAGCCCTGACCTCATTAACAAAACCATAAATGATGACACAAGAGATCTCCTTCCCCTCATCAAGAACAACTTGATTATCACATCACTGGAAAAACTTACAGCTGTGCCTGAATTTAACCAAGGGAAAAAAAAAAACCACCACAACAAACCCGCTTTTGAACAGAATCCATGATGTTCTTGAAGTCTAAATCATCATAGTAATTCTCAATTCCTCTTCTGATGTTATCATTCAAAAATTTGATTGTCTAAAAAGCAAAAGGAAAACAAGATTGACAGGTTGCATGGGCTGGAACAAAATTAGACGAGCAGGTTCAAGTGACAAGTGTAACTGACAAGCACAAAAGGAAAGGCTTTTTTTTCCTTTTTTTTTAGAAAAAACCCTACAGTCTAGTTAAAAACACACCTTAGCACAGCCCTGCAGGGACCAGCCATCTGTTCTCCTCTACAGATGCAGCCTCACTGCTGGGTTTGGGCTGGGAAGTGCCAACATTTCGACACTCCTCTCTGCTGAGACTCTCCAAGCATCTCCCAGAGATGCTCCTGTTATCCCCAGGCAGGATCCCTCCCACTGGGGACCCCCATCATCTTTTGGGTGACAGAGCAGTGGGTTTGGGTGGTGGATCTTGGCTCTGTGTTCTGCACCATGCCCTGAGTGACAAGACTTGGCTGTGTCACCACCTTCCACAAAACTTATTTTCCATGAATTCTCCTCTAATTTGATTTCATGAGTCCATAACTGCCAAGTAAAGAACTTTATTCCACCTTAAGCTGAAAAAAAAAGTGTATCTGTATGTTCTACAGATGTTGTTTTGAGAAATATGTGAAGCTCCCCTGCTTCAGTCCAGCACAGAGTAAGAACAAAACACTAGCTAGGGAGAACAAAATACCACTTGAAAGTAACAAAGAGCGAGTATATTTTTTTAAAAATCTTTTTCAAAGCTTTTTTTTTTTTAACATCATGTGTAACATAGTAGGCATGGCTTCTTTTTGTGAAAATGAGCTCAGCAGGATTGGAGCAGGGAGAGGTGTCTTATTATTCAGCATCTCCTTTTAATGCTCACGTTTCACCAGATTAGAAAAATAAATTGAAGCACAGAAATCTAATATTTGCCATAATGAATACTTCTATGTTTTAAAGCATTTCTAACTGAAAAAAAAAGCAGGCTGCTGCTTTTTGTTTAGAAAAATCAAGGGTTTAATGGAGTTATAGCATGTTTGTCAACGATGGAGTCTCTGATATAAATCAGTTACGTTGTTTATGGACATGGGCAGGGAAGAGCTGTCCTTTAACTGAGGCAAAACATTTTGGCCACTAACAAACAACAGCCTCCAAATCCATCTGGAAACCTCCCAAATTAGCAGTCAGACCCAGATGGCAAAACAGGAGAAAGCATTTTGTAATACACGAAGAGCTGAAAACTCATTTTGCCTGCATTGCACATTAGTAGTTGCCAGATTTTCTCCAGGTTCTTTAATCTGGAATTCATACCCAGAACGGGGGCAAACCCTACCATTGCTGAACCCTGAAGACCCTGAAAAACCTGGACCTGTCTTCAGATCTCTATTAATTAGTGCTCAGGTGACAATTTTAACAGCTGGATAATAGCCAAACCTAAAGTGAGCAGTTCACCTGGTTCCTGAAGATCAGAGCCACCACTCCCCCTGTCAGCTCGATCAGCAGGCAGATCCCAAGGATGTACATGAACTGCAGGAAAACAAGGGCAAGGAAGTCATTAGACAGAACAACTCAAATTATTTTTCCCATCAGTGCCCTTAAGTCTAGCATTCAATTGCCAGCAGACAATTTCAGCAGATGAGATGGCATTTTAAAGAAAGATAAAAAATTGTGATTTTGTTCCCTTAAAACTGTCCATGTCACAAGAAAGCTTTTCATCCTCATTTCAGTTATTCTGGGTTTTGCCCAATTGGCAAGCAGATTATTTTTCTGCTTTGAACAGACTCAAAACCATTAGATGTAATTATCCTGCCAAGATACTCCTCTCCACAACAGTTCCAAGAGAAATATATTGATGGGCTGCTGCAAACTACATCAAACCTCATGTTTTTATGCTTTCTGCAAAACCAGTTAGCTTTCAATCAGTAGATAAAGCAGCACTTTAGGATAATCCAAACCACCTTCTACCACATTGGCAGTGCTCAATCAAAGCAAAATTCCAAGCTTGGTACCTTTGAGTGTGTTGCTTCCCACATTTATTTGCCTGGGTGCTCACAAATGCATTCACACACAAGCACGTGTGCATCAAAGCGTGTGCACAATGTGAAAAATTAGAAGAAATCCATAACACTGGGAGAGAACTGCAATGTGCCAGCACTTGAAATATTTTTCCAACCTTTCAGGCATAAAAGATGGGTTCTGTGAATTTACAGAATTCTGTTTAACAATGCTGTTAACATGCTGTTTAACAATGAACTTCATCAGGAGAGAAGTTTTATGATTTCTCATCTGAAAATAATCCCTAATGCTCACCTCTGAAAGCTGTTTTGACGTCTGTGTGCTCAGTATCAGTGTCAGGAATTCACCAGACAGGTACCTCCTCTCCTGCTAAATGTGGAATCAGCCTGAGGAGCTGGCAGCAGGGACTTGCTTTGTGGAATACCCAGCTGGGTTTGCTACCAGAATGGGAACACAAAATGTTCCTAGCATCTGACACACCACCACACTCAGTGGGAAAGAAAAGAGGGGCTCTCAGTAAAATTCCAGTGTAACTTCAAAATTCATGGTTATTTCTGGTTTTGCCCTCCATCACAAACCACGTATTTAGCATTTCATTAGACTGAACTGTCATGACAAGGCCAGGTTGGGTTGGGTTTTGAGCAGCCCAGTCTGGTGTCCCTGCTCCTTGCAGGGGGGTTGGACCAGGTGGCTTTTACAAGGTCCCATCCAACCCAAACTCTCTGGGATCCTATGAAGGTGAAAACGAAGTTTGCACACTTGAATTTTAATTAGTCACAGGTGCAATTTCCATCTGCAACCACATCTCATCTTGTTACACATGTTTGTCCATCTCACCGGTCCTGTTGCTGGCAAGAGAAAATGCTGCTGCTCCTTGACGGAGGGACCACAGCCATTAAATAATTTTCTTTTTTTAAAAACAATATCATTAAAATATTTTTCAATGCAGACACAGTTATGGGTATGAATTCAGAAAACACTGAAAAGCAAAAGCAAAAAGCTTTGCAAACCAGCAATAAAAATCCGAACACTTACTGCTTGCAGAAGGCATAAATTGTCTCTTAGAGAAGCCAGGACACCCACAAAGGATACCAGGAACATTATAATGCCCAAAAGTATTAAAATAATTGCTGGGGCTAGAAAGGCACTTTCTAGAGTTTTGTACTTCTGTCTTTCAATTTCTGCATAAATCCCGACGGCGAGGACAAGGGCTCCGATCACCTGCAAGAGAAACAGAGGAAAGTATGGATGTTAGTCTTTCTCCCAGTAAACACAGAGATGACAGATTCTGAGTATACAGGAACCTCTGACTGCTCACTTCAGGATTCATTATAAACAATGAACCACCCAAAGCAGAAGTTTGGATAAAAATAATAATGAAAAAAAACCTGCAAAAACTAAAGCAGAAAAAGGGCAGAGTCAGAAAAAAAACTTAACTTGTTAAATTCCAAAAATATATTTCATCATGTTTTAACATTCTGGAAGTTAAACAAATCAAAATATATGTCACTGATTGAAATGTCATTTATTACCCATCTGAGATCATATATATTACATACATGAGCACCTGCCATGGCATTAACGTTCTGCCTTTCTGTGTCTGTCTGTCCCTCTCTGCATGTATAAATATACAGAAATATAGATTTCTCTCTGTGTGTATAACTATACAGAAATATAGATTCCTCTCTGTGTGTATAAATACAAAGAAATATTTATGTCTCTCTAACATAACACAGTTGCTAAGGTGGTCTGCAAACATCCCAAATTCTATCTATCCCTTCATATTAACTCTTACTGTATTTAGGCTCAGTAAAAACAGTCAGGTATTTTCTACACCTCCACTCCTTCTGCCATCAGAGGAAAGGCACCTGATTAAAAAAAAAAAAAAAAAAAAAAAAAACCAACCCAAAACCAAAAAAACCCAAGTTTGAAATTACATCCCTTTCTTGAGCAACTACCAGATAGAGCTGACAAGTGAAATAGGAAGAGACATATTTCATTCAACAAGGTAAAGATATTTCAATCAAAATCATTAGTTAAGTCAAAATCACTTGGTATTAAACCTACCATGTGCTGCAAATCACTTTGAATTATGCTGAATTAATTAAAATAAAAAATAGGCCACAATACTTAATCGTGAAAATTGCAGTGTAAAAACTTTCCTGCCAACAGCCAGACACATCCTCAGGGAAGAGACCAGACACAAATCAATCACTTTGGCAATCTGATAAACAACATTCCCATTTCCTGACCTGACATTGCCACAGGAAATACGAGTCTGCTCTCTGCACACCAACGTGTCTTAATTACACTTCTTAATTTTTAATTTCACTTCTTAATTTTGGATAGGACACAGTACATCCAGGACAAAGGGCTCTAGAGGAACACAAGATGCAAGTTACAAGTTCATGAGCCAAACGGTTGAAACACTTTTTTAATTATGTGATATCTTAAAATAAATAACAGCTTACTGGAAGTTCTTGATTTTCCACTGGAATGAATAGTTACACCAAAGGACAAAATGTAGGGAGTGCCAAAAGTTCGTCATTTAAAGAGGGAAAAATCTCAGAAGGCTTCACCCATTAAAAAAAAAAAATATACTAAAGCTATTTAAAATGTGACCAAATTGAGGGTAACTTCCTCTCTGACAAATCCAGAAATCATGCAGTAATGATGACAGAAGAGAAAACATGCTGGACAAGTAACAGCGACCAAAAATTTACCATTGATATGCTTCTACTGTCAAAGTGTAATTAGGGGGTCTAATTACTAGATGGTCAATCTGAAGTGCTAGCTTTATTCTTAAAAAATAAATAAACTACTGATTCCTTTTCAAGCAGATGACAAAATAAACAAATCAGAAATTTTTACATGCAGCTATTGAGGAAAGAGTCTCATCACCATATAAACCTATTACAGATTATAAAATCAGTGACTGCGCTTGTACACAACTCAGGAGTTCTATTATTATTTGGCTTTAATTATTAAGAAAACCCCAAAACTAAATTCTCCTGCAAACACAACAACTGTAACTCTTGCCTGGTAAATTCTTTGTTTAAAAAGTAAAAAAACAAAACAACCCCAAACTGGATATAAACCACAGGTATGATAGCTTGATGGGATTACCAGCATTTCAGAAGATCATTGTTTCAAGACTGGAACTTTTTACTGATATGTCTTTTTCTTAACCATACTTTTCTCATCAAAACATGAAATCTTAGATTTTTTTTGACTCAAAGGTGCCAGTGAATAAAATACAAGACACTTCCTACTTTAAGAGCTTAAGACACCTAAATACACACATCATCTTCATATACACATACATCTTCACCCCTTTCCCCTTTTTTGCTCCCACACCCTCTAAGATTTTTTCTTTTCATTATCTTCTGGGTTTTCAAGCATTTAATGAAAACCCTTTAAACCTTCAATATGGTCAAACCGACATTATTTATGGCAAGGAGGCAGTCATGCAACCCGAATCTCTGCCCTGATCTGTGCTCTCCCTTCCTGTGCCTGGGGGTGGAAATGCAGCTCTTACGCAGGGAACCCACCGGAACAGCAACTGTTTACATCCTGAATCCTTCACAACAACTCCCAGTCTGGCAATTCCAGCTGTGTACACAGGAAAAAATTAACTGCCTTGACTCACATTAAATGAGCATCCACCAGCGAATACCAGGGGATTTCTCCAGGGTTTTTGCACGCATGGAAGCTGCTTTCCCAAGAGAAAGGAGAAGCATTTATTTATTTATAACCAAAAGCTTTAACCCTGCATTTACAGTACTTATTCTTAAACAAAGCCACCACGCAATAACAGCACCTTCTGTTTAAAATGCTGGATTTTGTTTCAGCTGGGCAAGAAAAACTACATTACAGCAAAAGAGCTGTCTGGAAAAGTGACAGTGACAACTAGTTCTTTAAAAAGCCCTGGGTGACAGGGGAAGACCACAAGGCCTGTAGCAAATGCCCCCTTGGACACTCCCAGCGATGCTTTCATTTCCTTTCTGCTTTGGATAAGGCTGATTTTTATTTGCTGGTGGTTTAAAGGCATCCTGGGGACTGGAATCCGGGCGTTCATCACTCGTAATGTACCAGAGGAACAGCAACAGCAGGGAGGGAACTGAATGAACTCAGCATCCAGCAGGTCAAAGCCTCAAACAGCAGCAAAACCTCACAAACCACCCAAAATTCAATACTCCCACAGCCAAGCTTTTTTTCATTTCCACTAATTAAAAATAAAAAAAAAAAACAACCCACCAAAAACCAACAAACTCAGCAAGAATAACAGTGCTGAAAAGAGAACCAGGCGACTGACATTTACAGCTGATGAGATCTGCTTCGGTAAGCTGGAATAAAAGAAAATTCCAAGAGCGAAGCCCACACGCCTCACACAATCCAGCATGTGTTCAGCTCCAGCGCCAGGAGGACACTGCCCAGTGCCAGCCTTCCCAGAGCAATCCCCCGTCATTCCCCATCCTTCCTTCCCCCTCTGGCAGCCCCCATCCTTCTCCCTCCAGCAGCAAACCATCTCCCGGCAGGGCCAACAAATGGAAGCTCTGCTTCTAAACGAGGGCAGAGCATTGAAAATCCAGAGCGAGCGACTACAAAGAGTAAATGAAATCCTCGGGCTGCCTCAAAGAGGCTTTGTTCTCTGTGGGTGCTCTGAGAATGGTTTCAGGAGCGCCCTTTCTCTGCCACCAGATGAATGTTTACATCCCACCAGCAAGGGCCCTGGCTGCCAACAGACAACGCGGAGCAGACAACATGCACGGTCCTCCTCCAAGGACACGCTGCAAAAAAAAAGGGTTTGAAAAATAACACAGCAAATTTAAATTTCCCTTTTCTGAAACTCACAGTTGCAGAATAGCTGAGGAGGAACACAAGCGCAACAAGGGCCTAAACCCAAGGGCTCGTTTGTCTGCTATGACAAAAGATACCCAAGATCCCAAAAAGCCTGAATTACACTCAAACATCTCACGTCTCAATCTTTGTTCATTAAATCATAGCTTGCATCTGGCACTCACTGTCAAACCTGGTGGTTCTAAGCCTCTTCTCCCACGCAGCAAACCAAAAGCCTTATGCTCCTAACTGGTAAATACCGTGTCAGACAGAAGCAGAGCAGCCAAACTAGAACTTCAGCGGTGTTTAAACCAAAAATGCCAGAAAGAAACCCCACCTGAGCATCTCTGGCATCAGCACCACCTGAAGCCAACATCTTCCCACTATCCCAGAGTCTTTTAAAATCATGGTGCTTACAAAGAGGGCTCACAAAGAGCCCCAAGGGCTCCTTCCAGCTCGGGGTGCTGGGTGTGTGTGGATTTACCACATGTTTGAAGTCAGTGATCACAACCTGGAGCCATCAGCTGGGGCTTTACGGCTTTACCACACACCTGGATGAGGACAGCAAGTGGCACACACCTGTAAAGCCAAAAGCCGGGCAGCCTCACCCTGCCAAGGCTCAGAAAGGACTCACCCACCGCACCGAGGAGTGACGCTGTAGGGCAAAGGCTCTATTTGCCCACCTCTCCTGAGGGACAGAGCTGCATTTTCATCCGCGCAAGAATGATTTTTTTACCTGCCAAACTTCCAAGCCCTGCCAAAACCAGTTCGTCGGTCCCTCGGGAAGGACGGGGCGCTGCACCCTCAGCCACGGGCGTGCCAGCCGCCACCTCAGCCGCGGAAACATCCATCCATTGCTAAACCGCGGCTCCCCGCTCCCGGCCGAGCCCCCCACAGCCCCGGCAGCGCCGCTCACCCAGAAGGTGGTGGAGTAGGTGATGAGGGTGAGCTTGAGGCACAGATAGGAGAGCCGCCCGCAGTAGCGCGCCTGCTCCGGGTCCCCCGCCGCCATGGTCCCTCCCGCGGCACCTGCTGCTGCCGCCGCCCCGCCGGGCCCTCCGCCCCTTCCCGGCCACCCCGCCGGGCGGGCCCGGGGGCGCCGCCGCTTCCGGCAGCGCGGACAGCGCGGGCTGAGGGCGCCAGCGACGGGCCAGCTCTGGCCGCGCCTTCTCCTTTCGTCTTTCTTGGCTTTTTTTCATTGCAATCCTCGGTCGGGATTAGCCCCCAGCCCGAGGCGTCAGGAGAGGGAGATCGGGCTGCTCCAACAGGCAGCGCTGCCGGAGCCCGGCGCGCATCCCCAAACCTCTGCCATCGCCATTAAAGCAGCCGGGACAAAGAGACATCCACAGAAAGCTGCTGCAGTCGGTCGAGCATCCGCAAACACGGCCAGGCAGAATCCCTACACCCCGTAGCAGCACGGGGAAGCGTTACCGGCGCGTTTTCCTTTTATTTGTAACACCCACACGGCTGTCCACGCACAGAGGGTGCCGATAATAGCAGCTCACGGGAATATCGCCCTGGCCGCTTTCTGTGCCCGCACCGGCGTCTGTCCGCGGCTCGGCGATGGGTCTGACACAGCGATCATGAACTGCAAACGCCATTCATGCCTCCCAGATGAAATAAGCCTTTTCAAGCCCGCAGCGCTGCACTCCTCTCCCACAAAGGGCTATTTTCCCCTGGGGGAAGAAAAAGTCTCATTCAAAGCGGCAGACAACTGTCACAGAGTTGGTTGTTTCATCCTGGCCTGGAACAGAGACAGATGGTGTTGAAAATCAGTGTCTGGTGTCAGAGGAGATGAAGTGGGGCAGCATTTATCCTTAAGTTACCTAGCAAAGAGACTGAAAAACCTCCGAGCCGCATGCAAGCATGGTCTAAGCAGTCACACATCATTTCTTTAGGTCACACAATACACCAAAACCTCCTCCATAAAGGCTAAAAATATCGTTGGATAATTCTATTTTTAAAAACCCCATTGATTTTGCAGGCAGCGCTACCACATTCTGCTCTTGGGCAACAAATAATCCAGCCCAGGACACTCCCAGCAACAGAACAGCTCTTCACCTCTAATGTTTCTCCTAGAGCATTCATCCTCTAAAATAACAACAACTTCAATTTTCAGAGAGATCTGCAAATATCCCTGACACTCAGCAATGACACGCAGGCTGGAAATCCCATCACATGTCACAGAGTCGCTGGGAATTAGAGTCTGTCACCTGTTCTTCATGTCTCATGGGCGTCATTCACATCCAATAATGTTCCTGACACTTAGGCATCCTCCTCGTTTGAGTATTTACCTAAATTAACTGTTCTGGTTTGACTTTTTTAATATCTTACCTGGTGATTTGTGCTGGTTCCCGCGATAAAATTTCAGTCCACCTCCTGCTGGATAGGGAGTGAGTGAGTAAAGGAGTGTCCGTTTTCCTGTTGTTTTCCCTCACGGCTGAGCCAATGTATCAAAACAGGTTCCTGTTATGAAACTGCATGAAAATAATAGACTAATCCCTTTCTTTTCCTGAATCCCAGACTTAGGCTATAGAAGTGGCAAGATTTCTGGAAACAACTATGGTTAAATAGTGGTTAAAGTAAGATGTTATGAACTGTCTGAGGGTCTGTCATGGTTCTGTTCTCTCCCCCTCAGTCCAGGGCTGCAGTTTTCCACACCTGAGTCAGGCACATTGTGCATTACAACATCTGCTCTTGGGACCATCCAACAGCTCAGCTGGCTGTGGTTTTGTTCATATTAAAGATAAGTAACTTTCACATTTCCTCACACGTCTTGAGGTATTGTCCTAAAGACAGTCATCAAAAGACTGCAGAGCATTTGGTCCAGGTCTTCAGGAGTTCTGCAGAAAGGAAGTGAACCACAACTAGCCCTGCACCAAACCATGTCAGAAAGACCCAAGCTTTTCAGTGCTACCAGAGGCACTTTTGCTGCTTCCCTGCAGCCCACGTGTGGCTGATGAAGCTGCAGGGCAGCTGCACTTTGCCCCACCCAAGGTGGATGCTCATGGTCCTCACATCCTGCTCTCAGAATTGTTCCCTGGACAAAGGTTCTTCCTCCTGTAGCAGAGTCAAACTTGCAATACAATTAAAGCCTTTCCTGCCTGTATTACCTTGTATTACATTTCCAAAACATGAAACACCCCTTAACCACCTTTCCTGACCTTGCAGAAGTGCATCTTTGGTTTGCATCCCTCACCCTTTGCTCAGACCTGGGACTGGTGACTCAGCACAGTAACATTTGGCCTTGACAATCCTGCCCATAATAAAAACAGCAGTGAAAGCAGACAAACCCAAAGCCCCTGCTCTCAGGAAGTCCCTTTCTCCAGTTTAACTCCAAAACCAGCAGTGAGGTGGGTTTTACCAGCAGCCTCAGGCAAATGTAACTTTCCCTGAGGAATCTGGAGCCTGCCTATGTCAAAAATCGCCCCAGTTTTCCAGTCAAAAGGCTGATAGCACACACTAAAGCATTGGCTGGGCTCCAGGATGATAACTTTGTCAATGCTCAACCAGCAAACGAATAAAAGGTGTGGGTGTGGAGAAAGGAAAGCAAACCCCTCCTGCCTCGTATGATGAAATGTTGGCCAAAGGGTGGCTGCTCTTCAATTATCACCCGATTAACAGGTCAGGGACTGGGGCAGATGGTTCAGAAGAAGGTTGCTAGGAAACCTGGGCACCTTGACCATCTTCAAAGTCAGCCGAGACAGGCTACAGCTCCACCTTTGAAGGGTCACTAAGTGCAGCCCTTTTCCTAAGCACTTGCTTACATTCTGCTTTCTGTAACTGAAAAAGCACTTTAGTGCCCTCCCCTCTAAAAGTATGGAGGTTTTTGCTCCTATTGACCTTCAAATTTGCAGTGATTTAAGAGGGAATATTTAAAAAAATCTGAAGAACACTATTACCTGTTGAATTTGTATTGCAAGTCATGAACAGCCCTTCTGGACTGTGCACAGAAAGTAGAAGATCCATAAGGTGTTTAATGAGGTGTCAGTGTAAGACTTTGAAGAAGCACCTGGCACAGCTTTGCAATGCATGGTAGAAGATATGTACAAGTGCATTTTTTCAGTTTCTGGGTAGGGAAGTGAGTGGAATTACCTGCAGGGAAGTCTGTTGTGAAGAGAAGGAGATATTACATGCAGGACTACAGGTATTGATTTATTTAAAATCGACACTTGGGCAATACTGTATCAGAAAAAAAAAAAAACCCTGATTTAAAGAGTTGGTTAGGTGATGGGTTAACTCAAGCCAGCCTCCAGAAATTAGCAAAGCAAGGCAAGATTCCAGGCTGAGCCAGTTCGAAGGATCCTGAACTGATAAATAGAGTTCCAGGAGAGCCTGGCACAACCTTCAGCTCCAGCAGCCACGGCAGCTGGAAAACCACTGCCATCCCAGCCCCACAGACGTGCCTGAATCCTGAAGGCAGGTTTTCTTACCTGAAACACTTCCCACTTCCAGCAGAGCAGTGAGTGAGCCCGTGCCAAGTACTCCTGGAAATCTCAACCTCAGTGTGCTGTTTACATTTATGTCCTCTGCTTTAAAGCTGACAGTGCACAAGAGCGCCGTGCTCCGAGCAGTCAGGGGCTCCTGTTTCCCATAAGTACCCAAAATTTCTGCATGCATGAAGTCACCTAGTTCCTACAGCACACATTGGGAAAGGGGATGCAGCCATCCAAAAGGAAAGACCTTGCTAAATTGCATCAAATATAGTTTTCTTTTGTTATGAAAACTTGCGTGAAGTCAGGCAGAGTCCTTGAAACACAAGGACGGCAGGACTGGCAAACCTGGCAAAGGATCTACCCTTGCATTTAATCCTGTAAAATCCTGATGGAGCAGCATGGCAAATTTCAGAGGTTGTTCAAAATTAACTGAGGGCAGAGGGTGGGGAGGGATCTTCATGTACCATTTTGCCACATTTCATTTGGTATCAAATTGGCTCTTAAGTTTTTCTCTGCAGGAGACTCCACCTCCTTTCAAAGTCCCCTTAAAACCTGTAGAGATTTTATCCCAGTGCGACTCCTGCCTCACGCTTTACACATGGAAATGTCCTCAGTCCCACTGCAGAGGATTCAAACACCTGGTGCTTTAGAAAACTGCAGCCCTGACAAAGAATTTCTACTTGAATTGAAGCATTTGCTGGCTTCCAGTTTATGTTTTCTTGACCCTAAAAATAATCTAAAGGAAGATGTCGCTTATCCCTGGCCTGGAAAACACCTTTCTTTCCTTCCTTTTGTAGAGGGGAAAGAAACTCGAAGAAGAGAGTTGTTCTTTAGTTTCTTCTCTTCAAGCGTAGGTTAAAATGCCAGGGGAAAAGGAGGAGGCCCTTGGCATCGCTCATCTCCTCCTGGAACTGCATTGCATCACTTGGAAAACGGGGCGAGAGGACATGAGACAGCTCATCCCGACGTCTTTTTAACAGCACTTGCTTATATGCACAGAAATTCACACCACCAGCACCTACCGCAGGAAAATGAGCAGAAGCCAGGAGATTTTCTTTTACACTTAGAAGAAATAAAAAGCCATGGGCACGTTTTCTGTTTTTAACACCAGCAATGTTTCGCAGGCTGACTCTCTGGAGGACAGCGGTAACTGGACAGCGGTGACCCAGTTCACCCAGCCGGGATGGAGAATTGCTCTGTGGGCCATCACCTACTCCTTCATCGTTATCACATCCATCATTGGCAATATCACTGTCATCTGGATCATTCTGGCACACAGGAGGATGAGGACCGCTACCAATTACTTCATCGTTAACCTGGCTCTTTCGGACCTGCTGATGTCTGCTTTCAACACCATCTTCAATTTCATCTATGCCAGCCACAATGTCTGGTATTTTGGGGAGGAATTCTGCAGGTTTCAGAACTGGTTCCCCATCACTGCAGTGTTTGTGAGCATTTACTCCATGACGGCAGTGGCTGCAGAGAGGTAAGAGGCAAATGGAGGAGATAAGGTGTGAAAAAAATCCCCCATAAATCATAAAAAAATCATTGCAATAGTTTGTGCAATTGGCCCCCACTCTGTCAGGTGCCTTATCAGCAAAGTGGGAGGAGCATCAGACTGTGGGGTTTGATGCTAATTATGGCGTGATCTTCCATTTTATCCCTGGTCTGAATCACACCCAGATCTGTAACGAGTGGAAGCGGCTGGTATTCTCTTGTTCCTGCATTATTGATCATAAATTGTTTCCCAGTCATCCTGAAACTCTTTTGTGGGTTTGTTGTTTGGTTTTTTTTTTAAACTATGGGAAAGATATATCCGGAAAAAAGAGAATATAGTGCAGGCTGCTGAAACTATCAGCATCCCAAATCCTGCTGTGAGTCCAGCAAACCACCAAAAGTAATGGAAATTAGACCAGAAATGGTAGAGCCTGCTCCCCTGGTTCACTAGAATGACTTACTCCAAGAGGGAGGGAAGTAGTTACAGTGGGTTTTTTTTTACTTTTGAGGTAATCTGGTATTTTCATATAATTCACTTCTAACTGCTTACTCACTTTTACTTGAGCTTTAATTTCTGGAGCCTGGCTGTATTTACAGCTTGTTGTTAAATAGCATGAAGCTGTTTTCCTTTTTACTAGAAAGTGGCCAAAAGCCTACAGGAATTTCCTCTCTGAAAGGCAATCAATGCTCTGTGTAAGAAGCAGAGATTATTTACCTTCTGGGCCCTCTTGCCTCCTTCCTGCCTTCCCTCTGGTACTTCCATTCTCCCTGCTGCAGCCTCACAGGGAAGGACTTCCCTGGGGCAGCCTGACCCAGCAGCCAGAAATAACAGCGGCAGTGCTTTATCAAAGCCCTCCTGTTTGACTTTGCACTTTCCTTCAGGTTTCCTCTGTCCCTTCCCCACAAGAGCCCTTCCAGCTCCCTGGGGAGGGGAGCCAGCATCCCTCTGGAGCCATCCATCCCAAACGTGCTGCTTCCTGAGTCATCAGGGTCACGTCCCTGACTTCCCTGAACCCTGCTGGAAGCTCAGATCACCCGGCACACCCAGGCTCAGGAAGCAATCACGGACCAATCACACCAGATAAACTTGTCAGGAGAGGAGAGAGGGCATTTCCCAGTGTGTAATGCCCGATGAAACCCGTGCAGGAGCTGGGAACACAGCCCAGTACAGGACAGCTCAGAAGGACAGGGCAGAGGGACATGTTTATGAGTCTGCAGTTGTCCAGATGAAAGCAAATCCCTATTTAGAACTGACAGCTCACTTTTCCACTCAAATATTCTTTTGCTGCTCCTGGCCGTAAATCCAGGATTGTTGGTAACTGCTATTTTATGCGTGTGGTCTGCCAAAGAATCTTATTTTTAAAAAGCTGTTTCAGCCTGTTCTCATGTCTTCCTACTCTTGTTCCTTGGGGATTTTTGGTGAAAGAACCTATACAGCCAAAATCTCTTTAAGTCTCATGGCAGGGACCAGAAAGAAAACTTGGCACCTCGCTGCAAACCATATTTAGCTATTCTTTGCTTAGCCTTAAAATAGATCCTGACACGGTCTCCTGGAAACTCAATGCTTCCATTTATTGTTATGAGAACTTGGGTCAGCTCCGTCTCTGATGTTTAACTTCGATAAAACAACATTGCAAGGAAGGAGGCTAAGAGGTGACAGCTCTAAGTAATTTTTGTCTTCCACGGAAAAGTCCCTGGTGATCTTGCTCACTGCTGGGTTTAGGATCACTGAGTTTCCCCATTTCGAGCTGCTCCTTAGCCAGAGCAGCTGTTTCCTCTGCAGCCCTCCAGGCAGAAATGCAATCTTATCAATCAGCTCAAGTTTCACACTCCGGTTAGCAAAGTCTCCTGTGACCTGCTTGGGAAGAGCACAAGAGTGTCCAAAATCCAGCTTGTTTTGTCTGCATGGGTGAGGACCAGAGAAAGGGTGGCGATTGTGGTCCCAGCATCCTGGGATGTCACAGGGGCATTGAGAGAGGGTACAGGGAGCGCAAGCAGCAGTGGGGCAGGGGTGACAGGAGATTTCAGCAGGTTTAGGAAACCTCCCAGCTTGCAGGAGCTTGCCTAAAACTGCAGCTTCCCTCAGGGGTGCACCCCTGGCAGAGTGGGAAAGCCTCCACCCAGCAGCACCTTCAGTGTCTGCAGTACAGTGGCTGGCATCGTTTATTCCTGGGACTTGCCATTCATTGAGGGCCACAAAACATAGTTTCAGGCTCTTTGTGAGCAAATATTCGGGAGAATATTCACTAGTTGATTCCCCCCTGACAAGACTCAAGCACTATACAAAACTGCCTACAATGAGCTAAAGAAAAGCCAGGCAATCATGAAAATTTTATAGCTAAATAAGGCCCTGCTGCTGTGCAGCCCTGGATTGCTCACTGTGCTGCCTGTCCTGCAGAGCTCCCTACCAACAGCCTGGCTAAGCACAGAACAATTTGTCAGATTTTCGCTATGAAAACTAGGAGGCAATGAGCATTTTCCATCCTATTTTGCCTCTGTAACGATCATGACAAAGAATAGGGAAGGCATGACAAGAAATGCATAATTGATTATGTACTCGTTACAACATCGTGCATTTCCACACAGGGAACTTAAAACCAGAGAGTGCCTGGGGCTGGTGAGTAATCCAATAGTCAGAAGTGCTCTGAGGGCTCTGAGCAGGTGTGGGATGGAAGGGTCAGCCCTTCCCCTTCCCTGCAAACACAAATGCTCGGGAATTCACAGATAGGGCCAGACAGCACAAGCTTTCCACAGCTAAAAAACAGTAGGAAAAAAATCAGGGTAAAGGATACTGGAGACCCCAGTCTGCTCTTGTGATAATATGAAGCATCAGAGATTGACATGATTGGGAGAAAACAGCGCCCTTGGCTGGGGTTTTATTTGTAGGGCACTTTAAAAGTAATTTAAAAAAAAAGAAAAGGGTGAAAAGGGTGAGAATGCTTTTTGTAAGAGCAAGGAGTGACAAAACAAGGGGGAATGGCTTCCCACCCCAGAGGGCAGGGTTAGGTGGGATATTGGGAAGAAATTCTTCCCTGTGAGGGAGATGAGGCCCTGGCACAGGGTACTCAGAGAAGCTGTGGCTACCCCTGGATCCCTGGAAGTGTTCAAGACCAGGTTGGAGGGGCTATGAGCAATCTGGGATAGTGGAAGGTGTCCCTGTCCATGGCAGGTGGATTGGAACGAGGTAAGATCTCTTCCAACCCAAACTATTCTGGGATTCTATGGAAAATTCCATAAGGGGAATGCTTCAAAGACTGTATGCAGAAGACATAAAGGGCTGCTTCCTTTTCACACCAGAAGCACCCATCCATGTGGATTTAATAAATCCTGCCCTCAGATTTGCAATCATTCTCTTCAGAAAGGATTTTGTTCCTAGTTATTTATGACCTGGAACCTATCAAAATGTCTCTATTAGTACTGGAGAGTTTTTCTCCCTTGCTGCGTTTGCTGTAGAGATCTGTAAAAGCATTCCCTGTCCCTTGCAGGTACGTGGCCATAATCCACCCGTTCAAACCCAGGCTGTCTGCTGGCAGCACCAGGGTGATCATTGGGATGATCTGGCTGGTGGCATTCGGGCTGGCCTTCCCACAGTGCTTCTACGCCGAGATCATGATGGACAACGGAGCCATGAAATGCATCGTGGTCTGGCCTGATGATGTTGGATCCAAGCACCAGCTGACGTAAGAGAAACCATAGAGCTCCCAGTTCAGGCAAAGGTTAGCTAGGGAAATAATTTCATCTCCAAACTGTTGGGGAGTGTGGGAGAGAGAGCAGAGGAATGTGGGGCTGGAGGAATTTAAGCTCAATATGGTTCAGAATTACCCTGCCATCCTCACCTGCTTTGAAAACTATAAGATTTAGAAATTCTGCATGCAGGCCTCAAGGGAATTTAAGAGAAACCAGTGTGGAAACTTTCTAAACAAGCAATAAAATTTCAAAAATTCTGGATTTTCTTCCTGCATCAGGCAGAAGGAAACTGGGTATCTTTAAAGCTTGAAAGTCACAGAATTAGTTAAAAATTATGCTTTGCTTTGTGGGGTGGGGGTGAAATGAAAATAAAACCCAAGAGCAGCATGTTTCAAACATCCTAAGGTTTTATTGCCTGATTTATCTGGGCATACATCTCTGCTACCAAAAGTTCCTAAGCCTCACAGCGATTTCCTCCTGCTTGGAGACAAGATTGTTCAAAGAGATGAAACAAGCCATGCCCTGCATTTAGGGGATCTGCTGTGATTACTCATTATCCAAAGCACGTGATACACGGGGCAATTTGAGACATTTCTCAAGCGAAACATATTTATACAAAGTAGCAAGGGAGGAGCTGAGGAATCTATTAACAAAGTGGAAACGATTTTTTTTTCAAACCAAAATGCATTTGTGAAGGCTTTTGCCCGGCTCCATGCGCTGGGACATTTTCCCCTGCTCAGTCTTCATCTCTGCCAGACAGCTGGGTGCCTTCTAAACTTAGTTATTACCAAACTAACTGATTTTCACACTAATATGTGCCAAGTTCCACAACTCCATCTAACTTTGAGTTGCAGCACATTCAGACAGTGGTTGTCAGTTGTTCCCAGCTGAGCAAAGAGCAAAATCAGGCTCAAACCTTTCACTTTGAGTGATGCTGCTCCTGGTACTCCTTGGCACATGGTGGGGAGCAGAGTGTGCCACAATCCTCAGTTAAGAGGAGGAAGAGCAGATAACCACTGATAGATGAGTCACTGATGACTATTTCATTCTGATGAAAAGCGTGAGGTTTGCTTCTCCCACATCCATGGCATGGAAAAGATTCAAATGAGTTCCCCAGAATCCTGAGAGAATCCCTGTGGGCTGGAATGTGGCAAATAGCAGGGCAGATTCTTTCAGGGATCTCCAGCTGAAGACCAGCAGTTCCTGATCACAATACATCACTCCCTAGCTCACTTTCCCTGAACAGCCTCAGATCTGCAGGTTTTGGTGTCTCTCTTAGAAAGGAAGTTGGAAATCTTGCTCCCCAGAAATCATACTGAGTGATAGATTTGTTGGGACAGGTGCCTGCAATAGAGACCATGGAGAAAAAGCCACGTGCAGCCATTCATGTCCTAGTCCAAATAACAATACTAAGAAAAAAAAAAAAAAAAAAAAAAAAAAAAAAAAAAAAAAAAAAAAAAAAAAAAAAAAAAAAAAAAAAAAAAAAAAAAAAAAAAAAAAAAANAAAAAAAAAAAAAAAAAAAAAAAAAAAAAAAAAAAAAAAAAAAAAAAAAAAAAAAAAAAAAAAAAAAAAAAAAAAAAAAAAAAAAAACCCAAAAACCTTAAATACTAAAAAACAACAAAAAAATTGAGAACTGGGTTCCTATGTTGACTGTAGGTCTCCTGAATACTTTGCAATTGAGTAAAACCAGCTTTCAAGATTTCTAGACTTCAGAACAAAGGGAAATCCTTTTTTTCTGCAGGAAAAGCTTGTACAATTATGATACAAACAAGTAAAAAAACTAACAATCATTTTTTAAAAACCCAAACAATGCACTACTTTGCCTGCCAGCGCCTGAGAAATATTGGATGTAAAGGAACTGAATCCATTGAAGTTTAACCAGAATAAAGAACATTTACCACAGAGGATTTTTTTTCTGGTGACAGGTTAACTTTGCAGCAAAGTAGTAAAGTTGTGAGACTAAAAGTTTCTTTTAACATGTGCTGAAGTTTGGGCTCCCATCTTCCCTTCCTCCTCCAAGGACAGGAACCCTGAAAGGCTTTGCTACGCTGCCCACACGGCATTAAACCCTCAAAAGAGGCACCACTCCAAGGACAACAGAAAAAAGGGGAAGAGAGGCAAACTGACCACATTTCATAAATATAACATTTTTCTTCATGTAGCCACCAATCTGGTATTTGCAGCCCCCCCAAGGAGTAAACACCCCAGTGGGCCCCAACACCCACTCTGACAGCACCCTGCAAAGCAGCTGCCCCCTCAGCAGTGTGAGGAGCAACCCCAGAACCTTGTCAGCCTGACAGACACCATTTGCACCCACCCTGCCTTTTGGGATCACTGCCAGCAGCGTGTGCCAGAGCCCTCCTGCCTGATCCTAGTGTTCACACTGTTTATGTTCATTTGGCAGCTGCTGTAACCCAGTGAGTATGTTCCCTTCCCATAAATGGTGGTTGCTTCAAGTGATCAGCCCCCAAGCGTGAGGGAACCAGCAGAAGTTTGTGGGGTGACAGGGAAAACTAGAAATGGCTGAGGTGAAATATAGCCAGGGCTTTCAGCTGGAGCAGGAACTGAGCAACCTGGTGACAATACATTAATTGTGTGCACTCACACAAACAAAAACAGAGAGCTACACAAACACAGGCAGCGTCCCTTCCTCACTACCTGCATCTTTGTGAGCAGCCAGGAACCTTTTGAGGTCCCTGATCCAGCTTTTTTTCCACTACTGCATTCATTAAGTTACTCTATAGGTCTTTGGGCCATACTTTTTCCATACCTGTGATTTAAGGGCTCATAATTTTACGGCATCCTCTCTCTCCCCCCTGACTGCAGTGGCTTAGCAAAGCTCAGCACAGGTGGCCACGGACTGGAACTCTGGTGAAAGATAAATGATGTTACTCTGTCTTGAAAGAGAAGGGAATCCAGCCCAAGGACTCCTCATCACACCACAAGAGAGACAAGATTTTGCTGTTTACAGAAGTTTCTGTAGCAATGATCATAGGCAAAATTTCTGCTTTGTGGTTTTGCTAGTGGGAGCCAACATACATGTTCCAAAAAACAATTCTGAAAGAGCCCTCCAGGATCCATACTGACTGTGAAAAACTATTTGTTCTTCTCTTTCAGGTATCACATCGCTGTGATTGTGCTGATTTATTTACTGCCATTGATGGTGATGTTTGTTGCATACAGCATTATAGGAATTACTCTGTGGAGCAATTCAGCTGCAGGCAACCACCTTAACAGAGTCCACTATGAACAACAAGTTATTGCCAAAAAAAAGGTCAGAAGTGAAACTTAAATATAATTACACCCAGCACACCAGTCCTCCTGGCTCTGGTTCCAAAATGGAGCTTGTGTTTGATGCAAAATCTTGTGGGATTGGGCGTGAAAGGTTAATAAAATACTTTGGGTCTGGGGTCAATGGCATCACCCAGCAAGTTTGGAATAAATGGTGTTTGCATGCACCAGCCAGCCTTCAAGGAAGAGACTTTTGGCAGCAGGCCGGGTGCCAGCAGCCCCTAGAGAGTAAAGCCTGGTGTCCAGTGAATCTACATGCAGGAGGATAAACCAAGGTAAAACTCTGGGCAAAGTGGAGCAGTTTCAATATTACAAAAGCAATCTCATTTCCCTGCTCATCTCTCTGATGTAGCTCCTCTGCAGAGTCCTGCTGCACCAGAAAACATTTGCTGTAACTCCCTCCCTGTTCCCATCCCAGGACACTCCTTCCCTGTTCCATTTTCCATTGCTGGGGCACTCCCTCTCCCTGTTCCCAGTTTTCATCACCAGGGCTGGTTTTTCTGCCATAGCAGTCCAGGTCTGCATTCCAAACACAGCACTTTGGGAAGGCAAACCAGCCTCAGAGTGGGACCAGCACTTCCCACAGCCCCAGCAATCCCAGGGCCCAGGGATAACCCCTTGGTTTTGTTTTCCCAGTTTGTGAAGACGATGGTGGTAGTGGTGATCATTTTTGCTGTCTGCTGGCTGCCCTATCACATCTACTTCATCCTGGGGAGCTTCAAGGAAGACATCTACCAGCAGAAGTACATCCAGCAGGTGTATCTCGCAGTCTTCCTCCTTGCCATGAGCTCGACAATGTACAACCCCATCATATACTGCTGTCTGAACCAGAGGTGAGCAGCATGTGCAGAGAAACTAAAATACCAGCCTGAAAAAATGTGAATGTCTGGAGGTGGGAACAGCTGTGATTTTCAATTGCAGTCCAAAGGCTGAGTAGACAATTTACCCTGTGCGAGGTGCAACACATAATGATGTGATGGGATACACTGTGAGTGAGATTTAGACTCAGCCCTTAAAATTTTGTCTCCAAATAAATCACAGACAGCAGGCATAGGATCAGCACAGCCACATTTGCACGCATTTCCACATGCAGCCCATCCCATATTCAAGCCAGGGATCTGTAATCCTTGTGCATCTGCTGAGCTAATGCTGGACTGGCTCAGCCCCCTGCTCCCCTCAGCACAGTCCTGGGGAGCAGGAGCAGCCCATGGGTGACCTGTGACAGTCTCATGGGGACATGCCACCCCGAGGGAATGGCTGGGGGAGCACAACCCCGGCGTGCCAAGAGAGGTCCCTCTTGCTCTGCAATCCGAGCTCGCTGCGGCAGGGAGCACAGGGAGCTGCTCTGGCTGCCCGGAGGATCTCAGTGCCAAATCCTGCATTCAGAACCCCCTCCCTCTCCAGCCTCGCTGTGTGCAGTGAGCTTCAAGGGTAAGAAATGGTTATCAGCTCATCTCCTGTGCAGTTTCACTGGGACTCCACCAGCCAAATGTTGAACTCCAGAGCGATCCTTTGAGCATTTCCAAGAGCATCCTGCCCGTGAGCTTGCAAAACAGGGGAGTTTTGCAGCCCATTCACCCAAACTGCATTTAAAATGAAACACACAAACATGCCCTCCCCCTCCTCTCTCAGAAAGCAGACAGCTTCCTCATTTAATAATTCATCGTTTTTTTAAAAAGCTCCCATTGGGTAAACACATGCATTTTCCTCAGATGCTCTGTTACCAGCATGGTCAGCACCATCTACTGAGTACATCAAACAACATGCCATTTCACTGATGTTATATATTTACTTAAAATACAAGGAAATCTGATCATAAACTCCTATTGCACCTCCCTCCATGGTTTTATGCATTTAGCTCTTCACCTTACTCCTTTGATTTTAGCAGAATTTTTAAAATTTCTATGGTCATTCACAGTAGAATCAGGATATGAGTTCTCTGTGCAATTAAAAAGGTTATTTCACTATTTAATTTCTTTTCTCGCTTTTACAGATTCCGCTCCGGCTTCAAGCTAGCCTTCCGCTGGTGCCCATGCATAAAAGCAACAGAAAAGGACAAACTTAAACTTATGTCCCCATCTCTCTACCAGACAAACCACAGGAAGTCAAGAACAAGTTTCATCACAGAAACTCAGCCGAATGAGAAGGAGAAGGCAGCATTTACCCTCACCCGATTAACACTTGGATTTCCTGCTCCTGGTTCTGGCTCTATCCCAGTACACCATGTGAAGGCAGCCGATCTGTAGAAGCCTAAGGCATGTTTTTTTCCTTCTGGAGCAACCATTTCCTACAGGACTTCTTTAGATGCCATCTGCTTTGAAGGCAGTGTGTTCATAATGCTTATACCCATGTAGGTCCAAATATCACCCAGCTATGGGTACAAGTTTAGCCCTTCCTTACATCCACAATTGCAACACAGAACAGACTTCGTGCCCAAGAGGTCAAAAAACCAGCAGAGCAGATCTGAGGTAGTGCCAAGCAGTGGAATATAAATCATTCTTTTCTGCATTGTGATCTCCCGATTTCTGTTCCACCAAAACACTTAAATTCAGAAAAGAGGTGATGGAGCAGAAAGGCTGGGGCTCATGTGGCCCAGTTGGGATGGGCCCTGGGGGCTGTGTGGGCAGCCAAGTCCCATGGCTCAGCAGCCCCAAGGCAGATAACTGTGGATCAAAGCTTGTTTACAACAAAGGCAAATAGTAACACATGCAGACTGAAAAACCCAGCCTGCCCTCAGAATATTCTGAATTTTGGGATTTTCATGCCTGCAATTTCATGAGCAGAAAGAATTCCTTAAGATGTTGTGATTGCATGGATTTCTACAATCTTGTCCTAGAATACGTCATTTTCCTATTAAACAGTGCTCAAGCGATTCCTCCTTCACATTAATTGCTAATTAATAATCACTCCTAATTTGAAGAGTGAGGCTCTCAGAAGAGTCAGCAGCCAGGGATGCCCACGGGCCCATTGCTCTTTTCCCAGACGATCCCTTCACCTTCCCTTTACAGACTTACCCCATATTTATCCTCACTGCTCTTCCCAGATATGAAAATAAAGGCTGAAATACGTCATCTTCCCAGCCTGAGGAATTACATGCAAAACAGGAGAAGCTGAAATATAAACATTACATAAAAGTCACGCAGCATTTAACAGTGGTGCGATCAGTTAGTGATCACAGTCACCTTCCCCTCTCATGGCAGGTTTGTAAATAACATCACAGAGCCATAACTTAGCAATTTAAAAGCTCCTGTCATGTTGGCAAGATCCAGTGGTTTGAAATATTCTCCTTTGCTCTGCTCTGAAAGTAAAACTACAAAGTGCTGCTAGGCTTGAATTCTGCAGTCAATCCCGAGAACAGGTTTGTGGCTTGAACTGAAAGAGTACTCAGAAACTTGTGATTTTCCCAAGCCTGTTTCAATATAGAAATCAAATATATCTTCCTTCTTCACCTCCCCTGACTCTGTGGAGAACAAATATGCTATGCAACAAACTTGTCCCACGAATGGGACAAGAGAGCATAAGTCCCTCTGAAAAAGTTAATTCTTTTAAATGATTCCAGCAGAGAGTTTCAAGTCCAGATGTGACCTGGCCAGCCCTGTCCCTTGGTCAGCCTGCTCTTACCTCAACTGCACAGGGCAGGGGGAGAGCAGCAAGAGGCATTTATGGACAGCCACAACCGAATCATTCTGCCAAAGGGACTGAAAACCATTTGGGAGGGATACTCTGCTGGGTACACATCTCTGGGAGCAGGCTAGACATGCCAAAGACTTCTGCTCTGAGGAACTGCAGGATACCTACACACTGTTATTGGATAACCACGAGCTGTACCTCTCTCTGCCCAGCTGCTGTGGTTCTAAGGACTTTAAACTCACCAGCTTTGCAGTGCAGAGCTTTTTAGACCAAACAGGCCTATCTTGAGCATCCCAATTCCCCTCCACCTTGCATCACACGTGAACAGCCAGCCAGAGCCTATTCCAGTGCCACACATGCTGTCAGTGCATCCCCTGTGTCATCTGTAACCAACACTGAAGTTTTTTGACAGTGTAAGGCATGTCTTTCTCTTGTTTGGAGCAGAAAGCAGAGGATGATCACTTCAGGTTGCAAAAGGAATTCTCCATGCCCTGGCAGACTCACAGTGCAGATCCTGAGGTTCCATCCCATGGGAACAGCAACAGTTAAGGAAGCAGAGATGCTCCAAGCCTTTGTTATGCTGGAAGAAAAGGCATCCCAGGGCCAGCTACATTATTCCTGTGATATATGAGGTAACAGGAACACGATGCTCCACAGTAAATACATGCAATTCTTCATGTAAATATAGACAGGATTAAATACCACACAGCAGTAAAGACATCCAGGTCAGCAATAAATCCCTCCTCTACATGTTTACTCGTGCTCTAAACAGCAAAGCAGTTCCTGCAGTCAGTAAAGAAAAACATTTGAAGAATCTCATTTTTATGGGAAAAGAACGAACAAAAAGCACAGAACGGGGTTCAGAAGTTCAGAAACACTTTATTTTGCCTTCTGCTGTTTTCTTAAGAAAACAAAACAAAACAAGGTCTGCTTGTTTTAAAACCCATTCAAAAGGCTTCTGAGTGAACCCCAAAGGAGTAAGGAGCAGATGACATTACAACAGTGGTATGCAAATGGTCTTTTCCCCAGGAAATATAAGATTTTTGTGTTCATACTGCAGTAATTACAGCTTAACAGTTAAGAGGACTGTGATTTTATCCACCAAGCCTAAAAGCTTTAAGAAAGACATCTCAGTCATTGCTTGGGTAACATTGGAGACATTTCTTCAGACAGTTATAGCTTGTGATTCACTTGGAACAGTTTCCTAGGGGTAAGAAGTAGTCTGGAAATGAAAATCCCACCAGGTCTCCCTTTGGAAAAGAATTGCTGTCTTATTGAGTACATCAACTACGGTCCATGGTAGGAAAAGTTGCACTGTTAGAAACACAAACTCACTCCCTATTTGTTATGAGCTGGATCCAATAAACAAAACGACCTATGCCAGCATCTCCAAAATTCATAGTCACCCTGAGACCAAGTTTAACTTCCACTTCTCATTCACCCTCTACCCTGCACCGAGCCTGGCCCTCAGATGCCTAAGAGCTCCAAACTCAGGTCCCCAGGCACGGCTCACACCACCCCTAACAGCACTGCCGACGGCAGGTACAAGATTTGCAAACCTTCAAGCAATTCAAATGCAACGTGTCCCCTGTGCCCAAAAAGTTTCTCACCTTCTTCTGTCTCCTGTTTGGGGTCATAGCTGCACATCAAGGCTGTCAGAGACTATTCAAGCTGTAACGTAAAGTTGGGTTAATTGGAGAAGTGCAGCTTTAGGGTATGCAAAAGGGGCTTTCACCTACAAAAACCTGACAGCGGGACCCTGCAGAGGTTCACCCTACAAACACAGGGAGCTCACGGACACGTTGTAGCCATCGCAATCCTAAGGTAACCACAGCACAGATCCCCTTGCACAAGACAGGCCATGAGGTGCACCCGGACAAGCTACACAGCCCCTAAGGTTTGGGTGTTGTCAGCTTTGTGCCTCTGCTGAACCACATCAGGAAACACGAGGCACGGGGACCTGTGTGAATCTGACCCCGAATGCCCGGGAATAAAAACACACACACAAAACACAGGCACCACTGGGATTAGGTTGCAGCTCTCCCTACACAATAGCTCTTCCCAAAGCACTAAGCCACCAGCCAACAGCACCTCTTCCAGAAAGAACCACTAAACACCAGTTAACGCACATCAAAAAAGTTTAATATTTTCACAAGTATCACGTAACACTAGTACTGGAGATACTAGTGTGCAAAGTAAAAAGACCCTCTACCTTTGCAAAACCAGTTAGGCATGCAATTTTTCAGGTAGACACACACTTAAAGCTGCAATGACTGTTTGTGACTCACAGGTTACTTTACAACATTCACTCACAGTGCACCATAATGCATATTGAAATGTTATTGATAGGTAGGGCAATCCAAATCCTAGGGGAGCGGAACGAGAACAAAGAAGAGTAGCCTGCAAATTTCCATCTACTTTCTGCAGGAAAAGGCAGCAGGGAAAACCGTGTGGGTATCTCAGATTCATTTTTGGTAGAAGAGTGGGAATTAAGGACTACTGTGTGGTCTCCCTCTTTGCAGAAAGTGGTGTGACTTGCAAATGTTACTCGACATGTACCTCCCTAACTGCTCCTCGACTGAAGTGATGCAACTGGTACATGAATATAATTATGGCATTGACTGGACAGAGGACACGTGTAAATGATCTTTGCTGCTGCTTTCATCCTTGGAATAAACTGCACCCAGTCTTGGCTCTGTCAGCTGTTTACGCACCCGGGTCCTCAAAGGCAAGATCAAAATGCAACCCTCCTGTTCTTTTCTGGATGCTAACTCTGGCTGAGTGTTTGTGTTCTGAGTGACTGCTGCACAGCATTGAAGATTAAAGCTCTGTGTGGAAGCAAATACCCATTTAAGGCGAGAAACGGACGTAGGCGCATCCGAGGGCGGTCGAGCTGCAGGTTTGGTGGAAGGGCAGCTGCGGTGCCCTGACCCAGACTAACAAGAAGAGATAAGAATTTTTTTTTTTTTAAGAACCCTTAAACAGAAGAATATAGCACAGCCATATAGGGACAATAGATCTACCGATTTCACAGGTCTGGAGATTTGGATTACCCCAATCACCAACCGCTTTGTTTTGCTCTTTAGGGATTTTTTTGCTGAAACATGACAGATTTCTCCCAGTAATACAACACCACTCACAGAAGCAATGGGGAATACCAGTGGAACCAGATCTGTGGGGCGAGGGCGTTTACTTTCACCATGACAAAAGAGGCATCAAGGAAGCGAGTAAGTGGCGGTGTCAGTCCCACTACAGAGTTACGTGCGTGTACAGTGCCGACACACCATAATGTTTTCACAATTGCTTGAGACGAAACAACAGCAGGTAGATATGCAGGAGGGAACTGTTGCTTCCCCTTCACTTAAAAGCATCAACACCCAGGTCTGGTGGTCAGCGTGCTGGCAGTGCGCTTAACAGGGATGCTGCAAAGGACACGTTTGGTACGATGCAACAGTAGCTGTCAACGCACGTCACTTGGGGGCAATTTTGTCTCAGACAACAACTGATTTTTGACAACTGCAGAAATTATAGACCGTTTTTTCCCATGACCTACAGATGGGGAAGGTACCAACAAGGTGAGTAAGAAACATGCAGATTGGGGTCCAGAAACAGGAGATATTATTAACAGCACACATTCTATCTTGTATCCTATTTTTTTATGTCATTAGTTGTAATGTTTTTTTCCCCCGATAAAGCAGTGAGTTCTGGGTTTTTACCAGTTCTGACTATGCAGTCGCTGCTTTATGAGAAACACAAGACAGAATTGGGGCCAAGATTGCAGAGTTCAGTTCTGTTCAGCCTCACGAAGCCTGCATCCCACCGCTGTGATGAGCGCTGCCCCTTTCCCACTGCCATCCTCCGACAGCAGGAAGGTCACATCGCAGTTGGGTGCCAGGTCTTTGACTGTTTGGTGCATGATCCTCGAAAAGCTGTGAAAGGAAAGAAGGGCAGTGGGTCAGGAAGGTCCCACAGCACCTGTGGAGCGAAGCATTTGCACTGCACCTCCTTTCACCAGGGTAAAAGCTAAAAGGCTGAAAGCTAGGGTGGATTTGAAGCCTGGGAGTGGTGGGAGTTAAAGGAAAAAACACTTACATCCCAGCCCTGCCTCTCTCTCTCTGTGTGAGGTTAACTGGGATCACTAACACCATGGCAAAGGGAAAAGAAATGACCATCCAAGTATTCCTGCCCATCCGTATCCCTCTGTGCACACCAAAGGTGGGCACTAGTCCTCTTCTCTTCAAGCCCTTACCTGCATTGCTCTGCAGCAGCTCTTCTCTGCTGGACACTGAACAGACACATCCTCCAAAGAGGCACCAGGCATTTCAGCACTGCTCTGTCACTCACTGCCTGTCCAGAGCCAAGAGATCCTTCCCTTGCTATACAGCTTCCAACTCACTCGGCAAGCTGTGTCCTCTCAGTTTGTCACCACCCCAAGAATCTTTTACTAGTCATTCTTGATCCTCTTATTGTCCTTC